AGGATTACTAATGTCCGGAGCTGTGGTATGGGCTAAAAGCGCAGAAAAACACAATATATAATGTCCTCAGTGCAGCGATATATGTATGTATAGTACCTCTTCGATTTGTTTAGATTCGATTTGTGTATTAGTCCGGGAGTTGTTGCACACAAACTGCATAAAAAAGAATGACGAATTTTAATTCAATTGACAATGATAATGCTTCATCTGAGTTTTGGCGTGACCTGATGACGTTGGCGTATCCTACCGAATGCCGTAAGTTCTCCCATCGTCGGAAAAATGCCAAACAAAATGTTGGCCATTAGAGGAAAATGAGGTGCTACGTCCAGACTAAAATTTGGAAAAGAAAGCGAGCTCTTGGAGAAATGATAAATATCGAACGTCACCCCGAAGTATGTAATGCGAAAGCGGCCCCATTCCGGCCCGAAAGTTCTAAAACCGGAATGAAGTTTGTTTTTGTCCTTAACCCTTACAAGACCGTAAGCCTATAATTAAACATCTTTTTTTTACAACTCATATTTCCGCAAAATTTTTCTCGTAGAAATTTGTTTCCAATTCTTTTCTGTTTGCATAATTTTAATGCTTTTTGTAAATTTTTTTTGTAAACACAAAATTTGTTTTCGGCGTTATGGAACATTATACTTTGTGCGTATGCAAAGCAATTGAAGAGTTATGAAATTTTATGATAAGAATAACTAAAATGAAATTTTATAAGAATAACTAAATATAAATGGGACACCTTATAAACAGAAACAGTTTTCTTATGCGCATGTTCCCCTTGCTCTTGTAAGGGTTAATCAATCAACTACTGGCTCCTAGCCTTTATTGAGGATGACTCGAATGGCTGATTCCACTCTGTGTGGCATTTGAATCGGTCTCTGGCCTTATTCTGTGCTTTTGTGTCGCTACACAAGATCCAAATAACATTTAGGTGTTGACTATATTTTACAAGATTGGCTCCCTACTCTGGAGAAGCGGGAAGTCACCAGGACAACTGCCAAATATTTCCACCCAAACTTGGCCATTTTGGGGGAGAGTCCCAAAGTCTACCCATAAAGTCGCGTGCATTCGAAGAAGACTCTCATTGCCTTGTTGACGGTTGCATCCAAATGTACATTCCAGGTAAGTGTTACCCAGCTCTGAGGATCTGAGGCTAATTGGTCTGTAGGATGAAGGCATTTTCTTCGGTTTACCTGCCTTCGGTAAAAATACGACCTTAGCCTCTGTCCATCTACTGGGAATGTGACACAGTAACAGCGACGCTCTGTATAGTCTGGAGAGGACTGGGGCTATATAGTTACTTCCTTGTTGGAGTTGACCGTGGTAAGTTTAGTTGCAAGGCTTTGTTCTCTACAAGAAGTGAGTACTGGGACACACCAAGATAATAGCCTGCTTTGCAGCCCGGGAAGTGAGTGTCTAGCAGAAGTTTGCAAGGCTCACCAGGATGCTGAGTGTAGTTCAAATTTATATTTTTATGTAATAAATATTTCAAATTTTAACTCTATTTTTTAGTAAAAAGTTAAATTCATCTCAAAATACGTGCCCATCGTATATGATCTCGAATTTCTAAATTCGGAAAACATTTTTTATTTATGTGTACCAACCTAGAAACCTCTAACTTTATCATATTTATGTTATTTTAAAATTTTAACCCATATTTTACTATTAAAAAGTAATATCAGTCTCTATAGTATCTACGATTCATAATTTTGATGTAATTTTGGAAAAATTAACCCTTGTTTTCTAATAAAAATTAAAATCAACACCTGAAATAAGTGGTCTCGAATTCAGGATTCTGAATACTATAACTTAAATTATCTGCAACTGTGCATGTGCGAGAACTTAAATTTTGCATTTTAGTGTAATTTTGAAAGACTTAACCCTTGCTTTGTAATACAAAAATAAAATTTATACCGAAAAGGTGGTCGCAAATTTTTTGATTCGAAATAATTGGTTGACAGCAAAAATGTTTCATAGATGCAACTATCCAATTCCTATGTACAATCGCTCGCTGATTCCGAAAATCGTGATAATTTTTTTACTATGGATAACTTTTCGAGATATTTGCAATTTACCGTTATTCAGCTTAAAAAAATCAGTGGCTCCATTTAATAAGGTATATCTTACGAACCAATTAAATAAACGTAATACGAGGTACGGAAAATGAAAGAAAATAAAATTCTCCATAAACCGTATATACATCAGTTTCCGATAGGGCTTATAGCTTCTGAGAAATTAATTAATCATTTCTGACACCTCTTGTTTTCGACGCAAACAGTATACCTACTCAGGTGCACGTAGCGTATGAGTAACACTCTTTTCTGCTCATATTTCATACAAAAAATCCTTGCGCATTTTCATTTGACCAATCATTATTTTCTTATTTTTCTATCGATTTTCTTCAATGGTAGCTTCATTTTTTTATAAAGGAATAGGCTTTACAACAAGTTCAAAACATTTACACAGAAACTGTTATTTTTTGACTTTTTCCCTGTTAAAGTTTGAAGTTAGTGCATTTTTTCATCAAAAAAACAAAAAATCTGGAATTACTAATTAATTTCTCAGAAACTTTCAGGGCCATCGAAAAGTGATGTATATACGGTTTATGGAGAATTTTATTTTCTTTAATTTTCCGTACCTCGTATTACGTTTATTTAATTGGTTCGTAAGATATACCTTATTAAGTGGAACCACTGATTTTTTTAAGCTGAATAACGGTAAATTGCAAATATCTCGAATACGTATCCATACAAAAAAAATTAACTTGATTTTCGAAATCAGCGAGCGATTGTACATACAAATAGGACAGTGGCATCAGGAGAACAAAATCAAAATTAAAATGTGTGATCCAGTGTTATTAATAATTTGCCGTATCACATTTTTGAGCATTAAAATTGTATCTTGTTTTTGTATTTTTGGAAAATTTAACCTTTCAAAAAAGTAAAATCAACATCAAAATATGTGGTCCCGAATTTCGTAATTTTGAATAATTTTACATTATCTGCAGCTGACAATGTATGTATATGAACCATAATTTTATTAACTTTACGTAATTTCTAAGAATTTAACCCTTGATTTCTGAAGAAAATTAACCTTGGAAGCGCTTCGCTTTTTTGACCTTTTCTGCGGGCTTGGTAGTCGAAACGACTAACAGCAACTTCTTTTCTCTGTTACATATGGGCATTCCCATGGTGGCGCACGCGACAGTCGTACGATTTCAATGTGATACAAAAAAGGAATACCATTTGTTTTCTTTAACTTTTTTGGGCCATTGTATAGCACGTAATTAGCTCTATACTTAACCGAAAAATTAAATCAATCGAACTGCTTGGTCCTGAAATATAAGCATTTAAAGAGAGGTTCGTTACGTGACAAAAAATGGAAGTTGATTTTTTCTTTTCTTACAAAATCGCAAAACTCTGCGAATTGTGGAAGGCTATTTTGATGAAACTTATTTTGATATGATTTGGAGTAATTCTAGTTGTTTTTAGAGTTTTTTGAATTAATGCAAATTGTTTCAATTCTCTTTTACAACACCAAGTGTGAAACGTGACGTGACGGTTCGTCACGTGACATAAATTTCCATCGCTATATTTTTGTTAATATTGCTTTTAAATGAATTTTCAACGCAAATAAAACATGTATTTTATGTAGAATATACTTTATATTTTGACTTCAGCGCCAATTCAGGGTCAATTTATTAGAAATCTATGATTTATTATGTTTCAACCACATGCGCCAAATTCGAACCAAATCGGACCATAAATACGGTTTTTCGAAATATCTCGACCTTGGCACCACCTAGGAAGACCAATTTAACTAATTTTGTTGTTAGTCGAATCTAATAACAAAGCACTTCAGGGTTAAATCAGTCCCTAACCATCTAGTCCTGAATTTCGAATTTTGGTATTATATTGGACTATCTGCACAAGTGGTCCTCTGAGAACTTTTACGCAATGTTGAACAATTAAACAACATGTTACACCGAATTTCGGGATTTGAAAAAATGTTCAATTATCACTCCAATGCATCTGCGAGAATCTGTGTACATCACATTTATGTCATTTCGGACGACTTAACCCTCTAGTAGGCCAATTTTTTTATGAGTTGAAAAATTCAGGAATGGGTGATTTTAGCACGAGAAATCCAAAAGTGATGTCCATTTCGATCTGTGACAGTAACTTTTTCCTACAGGGGAGAAAAACCAAGACCGTCTGGAAACGGGCTCGCCGATATACTTACACATATTTTCAGCTTCCTCTTACACAATGTTAACCTACGAACCGGCAATGCCGTCTGCAGACGGTCAAAAATGCAAAACTGGGGTTTTATATGTCGGCTAGCCGGTCTGTAGACGGTCTGTGTTCGAAAGCAATTTTCTCCATTTCGAATGGTGACATAATTATAAAACTTATATTAAAATACGGTGCTTTTAACAACAAAATCCACCGAATTTTTTTATATCAAAAAATTTTTCAAAACAAAAAATTTCTTTAATTAAGAAATTACTAAATAGCAAGAAATAATTAATTTTAACCGTGTTTTCAAAATCTGTAATTCAATTGCCGATTAAAATAAAACGGATTGACATAACGGATTAAAATTTACTTCGCCGTAAGGGTACGATTTTTGTCTAAAGATCGTGCCTTACGAATATAGAAAAAAATTATTATAGGTGCACTAAAAAGGTGTTTAGTTAACGATCATTCCGGAAATAAATGATCCCAAATAGCGCAAATTTCGGGATTGCACTTTTTAAGATCACGCTTGAAATTTTTAAAATTTTCCTAAATGTGTATAAGGGTTAGTGCGACGAATAGTGTTTTGGTGTTAATAGAACTTTTGCGCTGCTCAGATAATTTCCAATTAATTTTATGAACTTAAAGAAATTTGTTTTTTTGGGATATTAAACTTTAACTCAGCTGTGTAGTTTTAAGCATTCTATTACTTTACCTTTTTATTAACCCTTATTTTCTTCCACATCACTTTTCTACTTTCAGCGTTTTGTACATAGTATATCAACATAAGAAACCAACCGTCACAGTCACTAACAGTCAACATCACCATCAGCATAACAACAATCACAACACAGAGTCATTGTGCTGCAGCTTCATCGTCGATGATGATGAGAAGACTTCAACGTCACCAGCAAATCGCTCAACAGCAGCAACATTCAATAGGCGCACAGCAGCGAAAAGCACAGTGCAAGCAACACAAGTTGGCAACACAAAAACTTGTAGAATAGCCGAGTTGCTGCTGCATGCCATAAGTGCAAAAATAACAACAAATACAACAAATAAATTCACACAAAAACATTGTAGTGCAAAAAGTGAGTACAGAAAAAGTAATAACAACGAAAACGATTTTTGCTGCAATTTTAGCAGCTGCAACAACAAGAACAAGGATATAGATTCTATACAAACGCACTACACAAGTGAAAGCAAAAACAATAGCAAAAATAAGAGGAGGGAAACTGACCAACCTGACGATTTTATGGGGTAAGTCAGCGCCAATGTTGGCAAAAAGTTGTAAGCTTTCGAAAAGATTTAACTTTTTTTTTTTTATTTTGTGCTGCTCTTTAGTGCAGTGTATTAAATTTTTACGATTTCTTTTTCTCGTTTGGTTTTTGTTTTCGTCTGCGGTGGGGTTACTTTTGGGATTGGTGTTCGGTTTTGCCATTTACTTTGGCGGTAGCTGCCCAGTGCTGCTGGTTTCCTGATTCCTACGACTGTCTTTTCTAAGCCGTTTTTCGCGCTCGCAACACTAATGTAAATAGGGAGGAGCTCTTTCAGTAAATAATGTACTTAGAAAAAATTCGCACTTAAAAATAGTGCGGAGATGCCGATAAGTAGCAAATATTTGGTGATAAATGGAGTTCCACTCAACTAACGGCTTCAGAAATCTTTTGCTTAGAGCTTTCGGGTACTTTTCGAAACTTTTCGTATATTCGTATTTACAGATTCAATTGCACATTTGAATCTTACTTTTATAAAAACCGAACCTGCGTCCCAGCAGAGAACTTCTTCCGCAGAATGAAAAAATGGGGTCAAGAACACAATTTTCTTTTGAAGAGGATACAACTAATTTCATCGATAACAATAAATTCATCGATAGTTTAATGGATAACTAGACATAAGCACATTTATGTCGGCAGTGATATTTATGTATGTATATTTGAAAATTTGATCGATAATGATAAATTTATCGGCAAATAAATCGATAATTATGTATAAAAGAATACCAATAACAATAAATCGGCTTTGGTTATAGTACAGTTTGTCCAACATGTATATCGAAAACTATATATATTTTCAAAACAATATCGAGGTCATATATCCAATATTTTCTACCTTATATTTTGGCAAAACTTAACCTCTAATACAAAACTCCACCTGAGCGATAACTGTTATCGACTATTTTCAATCTAACCTTATATATTGCTTATTAGTAGAATTAACTGCTTGATTGCAAAGTTAGAATTATATTCAGTGATAGCACTTATGTCCCAGATGGGTTCTAACAACAGAAACTAAATTTTGTAAAAATTGCTGATAGATGGTATTGAATATGAGCTCTGGATTAGCGATAGCAATGTGACTAAATATTTAATCCGGATCGCGCCCATCCCTATGTCCTATTTTTTAGTACCGAACCCACCCACTCCAACGTTTTTCAGAACTGTACCGCGGGTCCCGTCGGTCCCCAAATCTATTACTAAGAAAAATTCACATATCTTCCAAATTAATTAAAAAATAAAAAACAAAAAATTATGAAAGATCTGGAGTCTTCCGATTATTTTGTTTTGCTTCGCTGTTCTTTTTCGTCTCAATAAAACATAAAAAAGTGCATATTTCATATATCGTTTTTAAGGAAGATTTTGTGAATTTGCGGAGACTTTTGGTCCCGTCTTGCCCGAAAAATTTTTACAGACCGTCCCGATACCGCCCATCCCAGCTAATTTGATATCAATATCGTGTGTCCCTCGGATGCCGATATCCCCCGCCCATCTCTACTCTGAAAACATTTCATTCGCGGAAAATTTTTTTAAGAAAATATCGGTAAATAAGCATTTCGATAAAAATAACGACAACTCTTTATCGATAAATGTAATTTAATAATAATAAATAAAATTATAGTTTAAAAAACTAAAACCTCCCTATTATAATTGCCATTCGTAGGGTCATCAGGTATGTAACTTGAGAATAGAAATCGTTGCATCTTTTAGGCGCATCAATATTACATAGTTACATCCCGAGCTAATAAGAGGAAGGTAAAAATACGGCTAAATATGTTGTATGTAGCAAATATCGATAAACTGTAATTTTTATCGATAATTTATCATTTTGTTTTATTAATATCGTAACCGAATGTTTTTCGATCGCCGATAAGGATACTGGTTTCGATCGACATAATTATCGATTTGTTATCGATGTTACAATTAATTTTATCTATATTTAATTCCTGTATTAAATGAACCATACCGATAAAATATAAGGAAAAATATTTTAATAAAATAACGATTAATTTCTATTCCTATCGGAACCGTTATCGAAGCAGCTTTTTCTCGGATTTTGGTCTCTATTTTATTAGTTTTTGCACTGTTACAAACATCAGTACATCAGTAGAAAAAATACGAATAAATTATATCGATAAATAAATATGTATATGAATATAATGCTGATAAATTTGTACTACGATCAAAATAGTTATCGATATGTTCTTCGTTATAGAAAATTTTTTTCGTTGGTTTGTCCACGTATTAGTCCAAGCCAAAATTAACAAAATTATGTGTGATATCGATAACTAATTTTGTAATTTTTGTAATATACCGATATATATTTTAGTAAAATATCGATATACTTTTCGTTAATAACAGTGATAACTTTTTCGATAGTAGAAACAGTTCAATCTGAGTAGGTACATAAGTTCTGCTACCGGAACACTAGCGCCTGTCCATAACCCTTTTTGCTAACGCCAAGCATTTCAAACTGGCGCCTTTAAGCTATTCCAAAGGGTTTATCGCTTTGTCCTAAAAAAAAATTATCTACTTACATAATGGTTTACAATTACATTTCAACAACGTCAAAGTCATTAAAAATACATATCTACAAATAGGTAGTAATGCACATAAAAACCAATTACCCATACAATGTTTCATAAATGCTTGATAAGAGTTGTGACAGCACTCTGACAGTAAGTTGGAATTGCTTTTGCGATTTGTTTTTGTTGTTTTTTTTTGTCAACTGAAAATATGTGCCACACAATTGTGCGGCAAGCTAACAAATCGCAGCAACCCACTAGAACCTGAAGGGAGATCTCCCTATGTGAGGAATAAAAGAGTACTCCCCTTAACCTGATTTCTGAGCAATAAGGGAGATTTGTCGGTTTTGTACTCCTTTATTACTCGTTTAGGAATCAAATAGGAGATCTCCTAAGCGAGCGACGAAATAATACTNCATGTAGATATTTGTATGGGAATTGCAAATGAATAGATATATGTATGTACATATGTTTGTATGTATGTACATACACACCTACTCGCACGCATGCATAATAAATTGTACATAAATTAAAAGTGAACTTATTTGTTACTAATACGCCATGTCATTCATAGTTACGCACAAAAATGGACTATGTACAGCAAATTCCTACAAAACCCTGCTGTGAACAGCTAAACCAATTAGAAAAAATACTAGTTCATTAACTGGTACGTGCCTAGCAGTTCGACAATTTCGAAGAACTTAAGCGTTCGGCGACATCTGGCTTTGAAATGCCAAAGCTTACAATGAAACACAATTACATAATTGATTTTTTTACAAATGTCGGCTCTGAGATCGCAGGTTCGAGTCGCTTGGAGCTGGTTAAGATTTTTAAAGTTAAATCCAAATGTAAGTTAAAATAATTTTTTCAATTTAAATATAAATAACAAATTAGAAAATCTAATTGCATTGCAGAAAAAACAAAGGTAGATAGAGGAAAAAATGCATAATAAATTAATTAATAAATTTAAAAATTACAATAAAAACCCTAAATAATAAAAATAAAAAAATCTCTGCGCCTGTCAACCTGGAACCTCAGGCATACCACGCGAGTGCTTTGCTCTGTCGGCCATTGCGACCACGGGGTATGAATTGGCAGACTATCTCATCAACTGGTATGATGCTACTAGTATTTCTACTAGTAGATGCTGATGCATAGCCTTACAATTGATATCTCGTAGGACATCGCAATGTTAAAAATACCAGTCGCTAACACTGAAAAAAGATAGAACTTGAACTAGTTGGGCTGCAACGCAAACTGGTAGAATTATAGTTAACAACTAGTTGCTTTCCCTGCAGGGAAACTCCAAATGCATGAGTGTGTGTGTGCGCTGCTGAATTCTCGTGCCGCCAATTACAAAAAAAAAAATAAAAAATTGTATGCAACATTTTTCCGATTAGTTTTTTTCTTTGCTTACTTTTTCCTGTACACAACTCACTTCGCATTGCTTTACTTTCATTGCGTGTATATTTCATTTCATAAGCATTTGAACAAATTCAACTACATACATACTTCGCTTGCTATTTTGGTTGCACTTTTGCACAACTACATTCATACAAGCGAGTCAGTCGAGCGATGGCCGCGACCAACAACCAAGCAGCAAGCACCAAGTAGCAGAGTCATAGTCAGCGCTTATATGTAGCATCAACCGCTGCCTTTGCATTGCTATTTGCATTGCCGTTTGCTAAGTTTGCCATAGTCGTAGCCATAGCCGTAGCAATGACCCTTAATTGGGCCAACAACCACTTTAGAGTGCAGGCATGCAACGACGCCATCAGCGCCAACACAACTGCCGCTGCCGCCTCCGCCTCCGCCGCTGCCTGTTTTGTACAGCGTCGTTCTTTCGTTCTATCGCTGGTTGGCTCATTTGTGGCTGTCATGCGATGCAGCAACAAAGCTTGACTATTTAGAATCATACAAATACACACATTCATGCATAAATATTTAACTTTTTTTTTGGCTTTGCCGTGCTTTCGAAATGTGGGTTCGAAAAAAAACAACTATTCGAGTTGCTCGGAGTACAGCGGAAGTGCTGTGGTGAGCAGTGTGACCAGGTTGACCTTTTTGAGGCTAGGTTTAGCTTTTAATTTGAAGCCATAGCCTCGGTATTTTCAGTCTGACTTCGTGGCTTTTTTCTGGCCTTTTTTACATACTTAAAATATGTTTAGCGAAATTCGGATCGGAACTTACAACAATAATTACCATATTTGAAATATTTAATGTTTCAAAAATGACTGTTTACCGTTCAAATGTTACAATAACAGCGAAAAGTACCATTTCCTTGAGAACATTCTTTCTTAGAGTTTTCTTGGGTTTTAAAAAAATAGTACTACGAAATTTGCCTTACACTGTATTTTTGAAACAATTGATTTGTTGGCGTATTACTAGTGCACGCTGATGTAGAAAACAATCATATTTCTAAGCGAATTTTTTTTTTCATTTCCTAAACTGAGCTCCA